TATATATATATATATATGGGGTAAAAGCATCTAGAGTTGTAAAAAAAATACATTTTCCGGAATTTTGCTAGATCAACCAAGTTTTAGGATGATCTGATAAGTCAACTAGTTTACTTCAGGTCTTTTAAATGAAATATACTCACCTAGTAATGCTAGGCCTGCCTCCAAAGCAGAACCTTAAAAGTTGGATTATGTTCTAAGCATGGCCAAGTTGTTAGGTCATAAATAAAAAAGAATCCATAGATGTTGAGTCCTGGTAGCAGAAGAATCCAGTTAGGTGTTAGGTCATGGTGGTAGGTAGGGCTCACCGCTGTTGAATCCTAGTTATTGGGTCGTAGTGTGTAAGAAAATGTTATTGTTATTACTATTTTAAGTCTTGCACTCGGCAAAATTCAACACCCAATTAAGTTTTACACCAGTACAACCTAATGATATTTTAGATTTTAAACACGTCAAGATCCAAAGCAATTTTGGATCCTACGTCAGCAAGATCTAGGGTTATTTTAGATCATACACTCGACAGGACCTAACACCTAATTAGATTCTGCTTATACAGGACTCAACATCCATATAAGTTCTACACCAGGCAGGACCAAAGATACTGTAAGTCCTGCACAAGATAGGACTCAACATCCAATTAGGCCCTGCACCCTACAGGAACAATTAGGTGTTGGGTTATGATAGGGTGGAAAGCAGAGCCCAAATCTATCGAGTCCTAGTTATGAGATCCAATACTATTGGATTTTAGTGAGGTGAAAGACAAAGCCCACTGCTATTGAATCCTAATTGTTGGGTCGTGGTGTATGAGAGATTATTATTGTTATACTACTTTGAGTCCTGCACCCGGTAAAACCCAACGTCCAATTAGGTCCTACACCTTGCAGGATCTATGACCTAATTGTTAGGTTATGATGAGGTGGAAGGCAGAGCCCAAAGCTATTGAGTCCTCTTTATAAGATCCATTATTGTTAGGTCCTAGTGAGGTAGGAGATAAAGCTCGTCACTGTTGAATTCTAGTTGTTGGGTCATGATGTATGGAAAGCTGTTATTATTATTATTATTATTTTGAGTTTTATACCTGACAAGAACCAACATCTAATTGAGTCCTTCATTGATAGGACCCAACACCTACTTGGATTCAATACCAACAACACCCAATGCTATTTTGGGTCTTGCACTTGTTAGGATTCAAAACAATTTTAGACCTTATATCAGCGGGATCCAATATTATTATTGGTTATGCACCCGATAGAACCTAACACCCATATAGGTCCTACAGCAGGTAAGAAGATCCAAAACTATTTTGGGTTTTGCATACCTTAAGATTCAAAGTAATTATGAGTCTTATATGTGGTAAGATCCAGCTTTAATGGTTCTTGCAAGGAGTTAGACCTAACATATAATTTCTTATATATATAATTCAAAGCTATTGCATAAAAAATTTAAAGATAATAAAATATTGATAAAATTCTGAATCTCATATAAAGTATACACCTCCATCAACTTTATCATGACAATATAGAGAACACAATTAAAAAAATTTCAATTTTTTTCAAAATATTTTTAAAACTATAAATCATATGCACCTTTCGAGCCCCAAGTTTTTTGGGTTTGGAAGGGGATGTCAAACCTAAATTATTAATAATAACAACAATAATTGATTTTATCCTTAAAATCAAATTCTATGTTTTTTTTTAATAGTAGTAATATTTATTGTAAATTTAATATTTTTTCTTGGGTCTTATTTTGTAGTCAGGCACAATCTCAAAATATTTAAAAAATAATACAAAAATTTATATAAAAAATTAATTTAAATTAGAGATGAAAATTCAAAATTTTGTCTACACAATCTCAATATATA